ATATTCCTCTTCTGACCTACTCTTACATATGGAAGCCAGTAAACTCTTAATACTTTTATGTCCAGAAAAAAATGTTAATTAAAAATTAACAGAACATGGTTGACCTTAGTAACAAAATGTGAGAAGCCTACTTTCTGTTTTTAGCTGGTTTCTAGAAGTAACTATACTGCTCATTTTGTAATATAAATTTTTCTTTAATGGCTATTGCAGTCTTCCCTTGCTGTTGCCTAACACAGGAGATATGCTCTGCTTTCACTAGGGTTCTCCCACTTGTCTCTGCAAGTTACATGAAGACATAAACATTACATCTTTCACTTTAACTTAGCCTGTCAGTACACAAGGAGGTACCAACGTGTTGCTTACTCTTCATGGAAGAGTGATCAAAAGCTGAGAATCTAGAGCAGTGGTGTTCTGCAAGGAAGAGGAGATAACACTTTGCAAATTTGTGCTTCTCTTGATCCAAGTTTACCATGCTGGTTTTCCTTCTTCTTTCTGCTGATTAGGCTACCATATATCAAGTCCAACTCCTATAGTAGGATCCTTTTAATTGATCATTTGTTAAATGAACCACATACTAATCAGTCATGACTGAAAGTTGAATCCAAATCACATTACACTATGTGGGTCCCAGAATAAGTTTTGACTAAATTTAGGCTTCAAAATACCTGCTGGTATTTGGATTAGAGAAAGGACTAGAGTTACTTGAAGAGCAGGTATATTTTATGTGTAAATTAAACTTTCCTGTGATACAAAGCTTCAGGAAACAACACCTGGAAGTTCTCACAGCCAAAACTTGTTCTTCAATTAAATATAGATAGTAATTCAACAGCTTTCAGGGAGTAATGTAATGTGTACTTTCCATTTTTAACTGTAAACTTCAGAGTCTACAATTTCCTCACTAGACTTTCTTTTTCTTCCTTGTATGATGCTGCTATATTTCAAGTGGTATTATTTAACTTTGTGACATCATAATTGTTGAATTATGACAGATACACCACTGAAAATGCTGTCTTACAAATACAGGGAAGAGTGGCAGTGTCTCTATTTTGAGTGAGGTGCCTGCTGGTGATGTAAACCAGGGGAAATTCTTTAAGATGCATAGTTGACCTGTGCCAACGCCTGCTGGGATCTGCCTGTTTGTTGAGTTTTCCTAGGGTTTTTTTGGTTGGGGTGGGAGACTTTTTTTTTTTTTTTTTTTTGTGAATGTGTTACCACTGCATTTACCTGGCTGTCTACTTACTTAAGTATCAGTTATAGATAACTGTCAATATATTGCAGTATTGTTTTGGATAATTTTTCATATACCTGTCAAGGAAAGCTTTCATGCAAGTATTTAAGGAGAAATAAAGCTTAAGTAGGCTGCCAGTGTCCTTTGTGTTGTCACATCTGTGACATAATTGTGTGCCTGAACTTAAAAATATTTACTGTTCCAATACTGAAATGTGTACCTAATTCTTCAAATCAATACCAAGAAGTAAGTGTAATGTTTCAAACTAAGTTTACAATGAATTACATTATTAATGTGCATTTACTCTGTTTTTGGTTTGCGATTGCAGGAACTAACATTCCTCTTCCTGCTTCTCTCCCCTCAAGTACTCAACCCTCTTCCCTGCTGAGCATGGGTTTCTTAACCATCAAATTAAGAAACAAAAAGAAGACTGTTTAAGTCAGACTACTTTCCATGAAAGCCTATTCAAGGTCTAGGTTCAATGTTTTATCATGAGTACTATTGTTTAACTGGTAACACATTTGTACACTTGCAGATGTAATAGTGTTTAGTGAAGTGCACAGATTTAAAGAATGTTTTATTTTAACTGTAGCTGAAGTACGGATTTGCAGACTAAGTAATTTGATTCTCTGCCATGCTCTTTGTAGTACCATGTAGTTTCATCTCTGATTTTGTAAAGTTTTTGTAGAACTACTTTAATCCTTGTTCTCCAGATGCTTCATTGTAATGCCTTTAAGTGTTGAAGAGAGACTTTAAAAATACTTATTAATCACTCCAGGAAAGAAATCAAGAAGCTCTCAGTTTAAACAGTGTTGTGTTTCATTACCATTTTTAGCCTGGCATAGTAATTTTGAGTGGAAATTATTTAAGTCTCGAATATACATACTTGTGTGTACACACTCCTAGGTCAATTCCTGAAGTTCATAATTTAGGCATTTAACTGTGGAAATCATGTATTTTTCAGGGCTCTAGCTGACATGAACAATGATGGGAGGATGGATCAGTTGGAGTTTTCAATAGCTATGAAACTTATCAAGTTAAAACTACAAGGTTATCAACTCCCATCTACACTGCCTCCTGTCATGAAGCAACCACCTATTGCTCTTCCTGGTGCACCAGGATTTGGTAAGATCTTTTGTTTTCCTCCTCGTTAGCTTGTATCGTAGTAACCTAGGCTGAACTTGATTGTCATTTTGCAGTTTCTGAAAAAAAACTTCTAGGAAAAAGTACTTCTAAAAGTACGTGGACTCAAAACCAGATATTGCCACGTGCATGCATGTGGTCCGAAAACAATCTCAGTGAGCATTCGGCACCCAACTATACTGAATAATGTAGGTTGAGGTCCTGTTTGCTTCCTGTCTTATACTGCTCTTAGTATGTTCCAAAAAGAAGTGTTTGCAGGGAAAAAAGATGGATCAGGTAGCAGGTCTAGTGCATTCCAAAGTGATGGAGCTTTTATTTAAACTGTTGTCATTAGGGGATCTCCAGCTTTGGCAAGATCAGCTGTGTTTTTCTTGACTTTTAAAAAGTCATGATAGTAATGCACCCCTGTGCTTTTATTTTATGAACAGTTCTGCACTGATATTAATCAGAACATTCCTCTGTTGGTTCGGTTCTCCTAGTCAAGTACTGTCAAGGTCACCATCATTTTAAGGAAAAGAAGAGGGAAAATAGGATGGTGAGAGGAAAATAACTAAATGAAGCTGAACCTTATGTTTGACGCCTTTATGTTCTGCTGTATTCTGTAGTGAGAGGTTCTTTACCTTTGTTTTAGTTGTTGCTGTGACTCAGGTGGATTGGTGGCTGGGAATCCCTGCTGTCCTTGAGAGAACAGCAGATTTGATAAACTGTGTGCAAACTTATGGTTTGATCAGTTGTTGCTTCTGCAAGTTTTAGAAACAGCTTTATTTTTGACTGTAGGAAATCAGTGAAACTGAACAGAGTAAATAATGGCTTAAATGAGATAAGGCATAAAAAAGTCAAACCCTCAAGAAAACCAGCAAAATCTGTGATTTTCTTTTTTTCTTATTCACTGTGGACTTGATCTCAGTTGTTTGCACACACTCTTATTCTTCCCATTGACATGACTGGCCCTCCTTAACCTCCCTGTTATCCATGCAACTGTGCTTACACCTAAAATAACTCATTACTGTGCTTTACCCTATTAGCTTTGCACTGTTTCATCTTGACAATGGGCTGCAAGCAGTTATCCTGAAGCTTGCTCTTTTCAGCTGCGGCTCAGTGTGGGCTTTGGGTTCATTACTCACTGGAAGTTGACAGTGGTGCACTTCATTTAGTTCAAGGCAAACAATTCTTTTCTTCAGCAAATGCTAATAGAGTTTTTTGGTCAGTGTTGCATCCAGCGTGATCTTATATGCATACATTATGAAGTGGTATGTTGTTCCCTCTGCATTGTTTCATGTTCCCCCACCATGCTAATGGTGCAGCGGACTGTGAGAGTTCTTTCAAAGGGGGTGTGGAAGTTTCCATTTCAATTTCCTCTTTAATTCTGCATTTACTGCTGGGTTGCAGGGTGCAGTTAAATTGTTGTATCATATTAGGAGTCTCTAAATTAGAAAAAAAAAAACATCTCCTTTTCTTGCCCATAGGTATTGGGGGCATTGCCAGCATGCCATCTCTTACAACTGTTGCCCCAGTGCCAATGGCATCTATTCCAGTAGTAGGAATGTCTCCACCATTAGTATCTTCTGTTCCTGCAGCCGCAGTCCCTCCCCTGGCTAATGGAGCTCCTGCTGTTATACAGCCTCTGCCTGCTTTTGCTCATCCTGGTATGCTATGTACTGAGACTGTTTACTCTCTTGCTATTAACAAATTATTTTGCCATTTTCTTTGGATCCAGAGAACAGTAGACATGGAATTAGCCGTTCTAACTTACTTTAAAGAATGACCTCGGGTAGGGACTTTACTTTGGTTTAGCCCAATGAAATTGCTTAGCAAACTAATAGAAAAATTAAAAGAAGAAACGTGAATGTACCATACTGTCACAGTCATGCTGGGCAAAGTATTAACCCTATTACAACAACAGTGTGATAAATCTAGCTTGCCAGTGAACTGTTGCCTAGATATTGGTCCTCTCCTCTCTCTTTATAACTATGAGAGTACTGCTATTTGTTGGGATTACTTTAAAATACCAGACTTTGTAGGATTTCTAACATTAATCACAATGCAATTTGATATCAACAGGGCTTGCATAAAATGCAAAAGTAAAAAGACGTGAGGGAAGCACCTATGTATTTTTGCCTAATTTATTAGACACTGTTATCTTAATATTTTTAAAAATGATACCCTCAGAAAAACCATAATGCTTCTATTTAATGTTAGGAACTAAATTAATGGCATTGAAATTCTACAGTTAAAAATACTAATACTAATGAATACCTGTATTCTCTTATTTACAGCCACATTGCCAAAGAGTTCTTCCTTTAGTAGATCTGGTCCAGGATCACAGTTAAATGCAAAACTACAAAAGGCACAGTCGTTTGATGTGGCTAGGTAAGTTGGTAGGGAATAAGTTTATGTGTGTGTCTGGTTCCCCAGAACCAGAAAAACAGAACAAATAGAAAAACAGCTTCTCTGCCGAGCGGTGACCTGGCCTGTGTCTTCAAGTTTTATTTTGGACAAAACAGATAGCAAGGTAATTGATTTGCAGAATTTATGGAAAGTGGAGGGAGAAGACCTAAGTCCATTAAATTGAATGATAAAGTTGAAGTAATTTTTTTTTTTTTCCCTAGCTGAGAATTATTTTGAACTTTCAGAAGGGGAAAATTAGAAATTCCATTTCCAATGCTTTTGTCACTATTTCTGCCAAGTCACCAGTAGTGAACTCTTGTCATGCATGGTTTTTGGCATACATGTCAACTGTTTCAGCCTCCAGCATTTTTTCTTCCAAAACTACTTCTTGAGTGTCCATGAAGGAGAGCTTCCTTACTTAATGCATAGGAACCTTACTTCACAGACAAAGGTACATATATTTCTAAGACAAAAGTAGATTTAATGTGCAGAAACTCCAAATTTAGCAAAACTGGCAAGAAAGGAAATTGCATGGCTAAAATTTAAATAGCTTTATTATTTTAAGATTTTTTTAAAAAGTTTAATTTTTTTATTTAAGATGCAACTTGGTTTTGCTTTGCTTCTGTGAAAAATTTTCATGACAGCATAATAGTTTGGAAATAAAAAATAGAAATAGAGGTATTAGCTGTTTTGGGTCTTGTCATGTAAGAATCAAATATGAAGTCAATTAGTAGCATATTTATACAATCCTCAGCTCAGCTTTGGAAGATCTTACTATGCTTATCTGCTCAGTGGACTAGGAAGGAGGAATTTGTTGGGTTTTGTTCCATTTTTTAACTGTGATTTAGTATGCTCTTAAAAATGCTTATGTAATCTGGCTGGTGTACTTTTTTCCCCACCCCACCCCCCTTAACAAAAAAGGGCAAAATTTGAATATGCTTAAAGACAGAAAAATTGTGCTCATCGTTTTTCAGTGTGAAGCCTTGTCAGCCTTCAAGCATGGGAAATTATAGCAATAATTTATAAGCAATACACAAATAACCACTCAATCTCTTACATGAGTGAATTGGAACTGTGTTTATTACGTATGTCAGTTGAGTTCCATGATGAAAAACTTCAGTTGCTTTCAAATATAGCTTCTTCACACTTTTTTTTTTTTTTTTTCTATTTTCAGCATATTTTACTTTTTTTTCTTTCTTTAATCAGCTTATAAATTATTTGGCTAAGACTACCAGTTAAAGACAGGGTAAAATGAGATATTGCTTCTGTGGACTGGTAAGGCATTTCCTGTTATATGTTTAGATAAAAGCTTTTAGCTCCTCTAAATTGTTTAGGCTACTTAATTCTCTGCTAGTAAAGGAAAAAGCAAAAGTTAGGCCTGTCTCTCAACTTTACCAAAAACCATCTAAGACAGTGAATTATGATAAATGTTTTCAAACGGAATTCAAACTTTTTGTCGTTTCAGGAATAGAAGAGAATATTTTTGAAAAGAAAAATTTCAGACATAAAACTTGATCTCTGCACTTCATCCTGTTGCACCTGTTAACTTCATCTGATTAAATTTAAAATTATTTCTCCCCCCTCCTTACCCTTTTTCTAATTCTAGTGTGCCGCCTGTGGCAGAGTGGGCAGTACCTCAGTCATCAAGGCTGAAGTATAGGCAGCTGTTCAATAGCCATGATAAAACAATGAGTGGACACTTAACAGGTATTGAAGCAGTATTTTGTCTCCTTTATTTTGAACTGTAAAAGGTCAATTATAATAGCATTTAGTTTAGATAATAAGGGACTCTCTTTTCTCTCTGTTGCAACTGTCAATATTTTTCTGCTCAAATCTCCCAGCTGCTTAATGATCTTGTTTAGAAGCAAACATTCACTATAGCTTGGATCTTTTTATCACTTTCTTTATTTTCTGCAAAGTAAGTTGGCACTGGGAAATGATTCTTGGAAAGGGTGGCAATGAGTTATGTGAAAACTTGTACAGCCACATGCAGTGCCTCCACTGACGAGAGTGCCTTTTGTTTCAGACAGAAACTAGAATGACAGAAACTAGAATGATATACTGGCTTAGAGTTCTTTGCCTTCTGTAGCTGCCTTTTTTTTTTTTTTTTAAATCTGGTTGTTGTGGAGAAGGGAAAGGTTATGTATTTTTTAGTTTTTTTCCTTTGGGAGGGAGCCTGGTTCATGCTGATAACATCTTTTCAATGTTACCTATTTAGAACTAAGCTCTGTTTGTGCACTAGCTACTTGGTAATGCAAGAAAATGCGAAAGTTGCTTATCTGTTAATCCTTGTTTCACTTTGTCAGGTCCACAAGCAAGAACTATTCTTATGCAGTCAAGTTTACCCCAGGCTCAGCTGGCTACAATATGGTAAAAATAAATCCCTCAGTTTCCGTCACACTGTAAAGTGTACTTAAGACTCTATACTGTATACTGTGTGGTTTTTATCCCTTTTTGATCTCCCTCCACTGATAAATCATTATATGTTGTTCTTTTTAATGTATAACTTTATAAAATGAATCCTGCACTGCTATCCTGAAATCGATTTTACTTCACGAAAGAAAAAAGAGTCTCTTTTATGCTATGTACATAGATGTTCCATGAATTTGTTTTCAATTACAGGGTTTTTAGGCAGACCAGGTGTTTAGCTTCCTATGTCTTCCACATCCCTGGCCATGAAACACATACATTTGTACAGGTAGTAAAAAGGCAGCTTAATCCAGAACCATACATTCTTTGGGGATTATTTGCCTTTTGTGTGAGTTTCTAAGGGCTTATTTCCAAGGGGCTAGAGTTACATACGTTTATAATAATGGATTTTTAAAAGATTTGTTTCAGCTTCTCTGTTTCCTTTCAACTTCTTGTTTGTGGCAGTTTATGATGTTCTTATTGCCACATGGAAAGTTATTTCTATGTATTCTGTAACTTGTATACTTTATAAGTCTTTGCTTGAAAACCCTTGACCATCTGACTTCTGCACGAGGATGTCAACTATGTTGTAGGTCTAATATGATGTTTCAGTTGCACTTGCTTTCTTTGCTAAGCATTGATGTTTTTATTCTATCTTAAAAAGCACTCCTCCCTTCTCTGTTTCCTAACAAAGCTACTTTAAGGCAAAAAAAAAAAAAACCAAAAAAAAACAACCCAGTCATCCAGCAGATGATTAACCAGAAAATACTCTCTTGTTGCCAGCATTTAAGTAGGTTGTGTGGGCAGGGGAATGACGTCAGTGTACTCCAGGAGTTCTAAACATAACTCTTTTAATCTCTGACATTCGAAATTACCAAGTCTATTGAGATAAGGAGTCGATTTTGCAGCTTTTGTTGTCCTAGGTATTGCTCCCTTTCCTGATACTTACTCCCTGGCAGTGGAACTGCTGCTGCTGTTCTCTCAGGCGAGATTTGTCACTTTGTTGGGATCGGATTCGGTAACTCCTAGACACACAAAATGAAGTGCTGATACACAGCCTGTCAGCTTTCTTGTTATTTCCCTAACAAAGATATGGACCCAGACTTTTAGGGTAGCTGATCAATTATATCTTTGTATGCTAGATTTTCCTTCTACTGGCTTCTTCTTGTGCCCCAGCCTGAAGAGTTTAATAACACAAGCATGGATCAAATGAGGCTATAATTGTCTTCCAAATTATGATCCCATAAACACAGTCCTGTACCTTGAGGCATCAGAAGAATGTATCAGTTGCTTACCTTTGTTTTTCACAGTAGCATGGGAGATTTTTCTGTGTGATTAGAAGGTAGCATGCTAGAGGAACAAAGCTGATATTTAGGCTGTTAAATTTTGTCCAATACCACCTTAACATGAGTAAAACTGTTTTGTGCATCTGTTGGAGAACTGTTTTTAGGCCACCCAGAGGTGTTACTCCATAGTTTTAAATATGTACAGAATGCTAAAATGTTTCTGTGCTTGTCAGGACTAGAATGTTAATGACTTTGATTTTAATGCAAATATGTGCTCTGGAATGTGAGATAGGAGCCTCCAGAAGAAGACGGAAGATCAAACCCAAAAGTTTTACCAAACATCTGAGTTGATTCTTTTCTAAATGATATTGTATAGTGGATGTTCACAAGGTGTTCAAGAAAACTCCGTTGGTTGACATTAGTTATATAGTGGATGGTACAGGCAGCACTCAAAGAGCAAGTTCAGTAAAAGCCATGGCTGTAAGGTTAGTTTCAAGGCACATGTGCATGAGAAGTGTGGCAAATAGTGAATCATTTGGTTTTTGCTTTCTACTTGTTTTGAAGAAACATTGCAGTGTGAAAAAAAATAATGAAAAATGAAATAATTTGGAACTCAATATGTTTAAACTGTGCTTTTTAACAATGATTTTTAAGATTTAAGCATTTACTTACTTTTTACCCTCCTTTTAAAAAGGAATCTTTCCGATATTGATCAAGATGGAAAACTTACAGCTGAAGAGTTTATTCTGGCTATGCACTTAATTGATGTAGCTATGTCTGGTCAGCCACTGCCACCTGTACTGCCTCCAGAGTATATTCCACCTTCATTTAGGTAACTGGTAATAATTCTGGGTTCTTGCTCTTAATTTTTTATTTCATTTGGGAAAGATGGCCTGTGAGTGTAACGTGCAAGATATTGCAAAGTAACCTTTCTTTTTGTAATGTATCTATGTCACAGAATGCCTTCTCCTTAGGACATGGTTGTCTAGCTTTTTGGTTTCATTACGAGCACTTGGTGCTGGAAGTAGCAAGAACTCCTTGTAAGAATACAGTTTTGGTTAAAGTTTTATGCTAGCAAAGCTTCCAAAACTTGTTCAGTCTGGCTATATATATTTAAAGTGTTCAACCTTTCACCTCTGCAGAGCAAGTGGGATGTACTAGAATTCAAAGTGTGCTATGAATTTACACTGTAGCAAATTCAGACATCTTTTGTTACAGTTGTATCTGAATCCTAGTGGTGAGTTGTTACTTCTGTTTCTCTATTTAACTTGTTCCTGGAGAAACGGTTGGGAAGACAGTAACAGCAATGAAAAGAGATGTTTACATAGAACTATAGCTTCATGTTACTTTATGTGTCCTGAGGATTACAGGTTTTTTTGTTTATTCCATGTGCAGTCTATTTGTAGCTTTACTATAGTGAGGTCTTCCTCTGTCTTTGCAACTTTTTTTATATTTTAAGTTGGCATTTCCCCAGCCTCAGGCTGGTTAGAAGTAAGATATTTTGGGGACAGCAGTGAACACATCTGTAAGCTGCATGGTGCTGTGCACTGTGAACAAGGTTTCTCAGGCCACCTGTGTGTGCTGTTAGGACTCTGGAGGATACTCTTACCTTATTGGCAACGGTTAAGTAAAATCCTCAGTAGCACCGAAGGAACATTAAATATCATTAAACATCACATTGTTGCATTTAATTTATGATTTCATATTTAAATAATAAATTGGGCAGGCGGAGTTTCTTCTAAGCAACTTGGAATTATTGTTTTATTGACAGAAGAGTGCGCTCTGGTAGCGGCGTATCTGCTGCAAGTTCAGGATCTGTAGACCAAAGGTTACCAGAAGAACCAGCATTAGAAGAAGAACAGCAGCAACTGGAAAAGAAATTACCAGGTAAGCAAGCAAAAACAGAGATGTATCGTGTGCTGTTACCAAAGAGGTGTTATCATGAGGTTATATGCTGTGGAGTTATAAAGGCTTATTAAGAAATGTTTTCTTTCCAGATCAGTTTGTGAAATGTCAGAAGCATAACCAAGACATTGTTTGGTCCAGCTAATTTCTGACTGTTGCATGATCCTTTTTGCGAGTGACAGTGGGGATATGAACAACATTCAGACTACTTATGCAATCTCAACAGAAGCAGCACTTTACAGCCCTGTTATAGGACTGCAATGAAAACTTTTTACGACCTCCATCTTCTCACTTATGTGGAGCATAGTTTGGCCTATGTAGTCTTTAAAAAGATCACAATATACATATAGAGGCCTGTCTCATTGCAGTCTGTGCAACAATATGTTTATTCATACAAGATTTAGCAGCTCTGCTTTTGGGCAGAAAGGAAGAAAGGGGAAAAAACGAAATGGATAGAAAGCTCCCTAGGTGCTAAATGGCTAACTGTTAGGAAATTTCTTAACACTTCTGATCCTCTCCTCGCTCTTCTTTGTACTTCCTGTATTTTTATTTTATGCTAAGATGACCAGAATGTCACACAGTTGAAGAGGTAGCAACATGACAGATTATACAGTGCTGTAATAATGCTTTTCTGTTTTATTCTAAATTACTTTTTAGTTTTTTAGTTGATTCCTAACACTGTATTGCCTCTTTGATCACAGCTTAGGTCTGAGTTGATGTTTTGGAAGTCTTTCCACAGTAATGCCAACATCCTTCCACAAATCTATTAATCATTTTAGAGCTCATGAACTGTGTGTTTTTAGTTAGGATTATTTTTATTCCCTAGACACTACTCTGTATTCATTCACATTTTAATTTCCTCTGCGTCGTCATTGCCAGATCACTCAGTTTGGTGAGGTGCTTCTAAACTTATTCACAGTCAGGTTTTTATTTTAATACCATGACTGTCTGGCATCATCTCCAGAAGCTGTCTTGCTACTTTTCAATCTCTTCCAGATCATTGTTGCACACTGAACAGCACAGTTGCTAGCAGAGATCTTTGAAGGAGGCTACTGAGAATCTTTCTGTCATTGTGAAAGTTGGTAATTTATTTCACCCCTCAATTCTAACCTTTCAACTGTCTGTTAGTTCCCAAGGACCTTCTGTCTCCTTCCATGCCAGGTTAGTTCAGGGGATCTGCATGTGAGCAATTCAGACACAACTCTTGTCTTTGGTTTTTATTTTATAATTAACTGCTGGTGGCAATCTGCTGGTTAATTTCTGGCAATAGGAGCATGAAGGTAGATAGCAGGGACTTGATGAAGCATACCTCACTGAGGTCTCACAATGAAATGTTTGGTCTCAGGTGAGATATAACTCTCCTGTATTGGCTCTTTGAGGCCAAAGCCTTGTGTCGTTGGAATCAGAGGATTTGGGTATGCAGTTTGTAGTGTCAGGAAGGTCGACCGCTGCCTTGGCTTAGTTTCTTTATTAGATTTTGAAATCACACGAGTGTTCTTCTGTTGACCTGATCTTCTTTTTTCAACTTACTTATTGACATAGTTGGATCTATTAGACTTGAGAGGCAGCTCTTGCCTGCATTCATTCTTCCATGTTATTACGTTTAGTCATGTATACTAACTCTCTGTCTGTGGTAGCCTTCACTACTTTGCCCAGCATGGGAGTAGACTGACTTGTCTGTAGCTTTCAGGATCATTATACTGTCGTTTCTTAAAGACTGGTATTGCACTTGTCATCTTCTAGTCTTACAGCATGGATGTTGATTAAAGGGTGGATTGCACAGCACAGCTAGTAGTTCATGAATTTTGTATTTGAACTGTGAATTAACATTGTCTGGGTTTGGCAACTTGTTACTCTTAATTTTTTTTGGTTTTATTTTTGTTGTAAAACCATTTCTGCTTTCAGTTAAAGAGGAACTAGAGTGTATAAGCCTTTTACTGTATTTGATGTATAGATTTTCCGTTGTATGGTCAGCTTATAGTAGTGAATGTCATCTTGCTTCTTCAGTGGCTTTGCTAAATCTGGCTAGGTGTTTTTTTCTTTTTTCTTTTGAGATATTTGAGAGACTTTTTATTGTTGGCTTCTATAACCTTTTAGAAACTTTGCCTTAAGCATGGTTACACAAGCCAGTAGCTATTTACTTAATTTGCTAGTAGTTGTTCTCTTCTATTTTTGTATTTTGGATATGCTTTGGTTTGTTTTTCTGGTAGCTACCTTGAGTTGGCAGAGTAACCATACTATCTTGTTGGGCAGCCATCTTAGTGGTAGGTGTTTTCTGAGCCTTGAAGAGGGTATCTGAATGTCCACGCTACTTGCAAGTGTTTTGACCTTCCACCTATTTTAACTGATTTTCTTGACATAATTTTTTTCCTTCTTTTTGTTTGTTTTCCTAAATCAGCAGGAGTTATAATCATGTTCTTTGTCTATCAGTCTGTAGCTTAATATGCTCTGAACTCAGTGGCTAATTTTTAAAAAAAATTGACAAACATCAAGGTGGCAAAATTTTTTCAAGCTTTATGAAAGTTGTTGATTGGTGATAGGAAAGGGGTCCAAACTTAGAAGAAGACAAAAATTTAACTGATTCAGAAGATGCTGAGCCAGTATATCTCACTGTTAGTGCATGCACACTTTGAAGTAAATATGTGCTATCTCTTGACTTCGATGCCAAAAATGTACATATTGGTCATGCAGGAGGAGAAATGTAGGCTATGGGGTATGAGAATGGGACATGCAGGGTATGAAAAGAAACAGAAGGTGAAGTTGAAATAATAATTTGGAGGAACTGTGAGGGAGGGGCCCAGGAATGTGGAACAGGGGAAGGATTCTTCTTTCTTGCAGAAGAGTGTCAGGGAATTCATGGTGGAACTGAGGTCTTTTAGGACAGTAAGTGATGAGGATGCCAGTCTGCAGGAATCCAGTTTTCCTGAGTTCAGCTGCTCAAGAACTTAAGAAAGGCATTTCTTTTCCTGACAGTAACGAATAATCTTAGGAGAATAGAAAGTTTAAATACATTCTGATCATTTGCATAATGGCTTTTGGATAGTGTAATCAGCAGAATTCTTTGCCTTGAAGTTAGTTCTTGTCCTGCTACTATTATCAAAGGTACAGAGGAATTCCAGATCCTGCGTCCTTACAGAGGATTGACTGGTGAATGATTTGCCTAAATTATACCCACTTGTTGGGCTTTGTGGAGAAACCTGGAAACCTGAGGAATGGGAACTAAATATTCGTACTTTGGTTTACTAATGGTGTGGGTTTAAGAGGATCTACAATATAAACACTACTGATAAAACCTGGAACCTGTAGAGCTGTATTGTCAGTAGTTGAGAGCTGCATCTAGTACTCTTGGAAGGTTATTTCATTTTGATTCGGCATATATGGGTTTTATTTTTTTTTTAAGTCAGTAGCAGAATTTAATTCTCCTTTGCCCCATGTTTCCACACATGAAAGTTACGTTCGAAGACAAAAAACGGGAGAACTTTGAACGTGGCAATCTAGAGCTTGAGAAGCGGCGTCAGGCTCTGCTGGAGCAGCAGCGCAAAGAGCAGGAGCGCCTGGCGCAGCTGGAGCGGGCAGAGCAGGAGAGGAAGGAGCGGGAGCGGCAGGAGCAGGAGCGTAAGAGACAGCTGGAGCTGGAGAAACAGCTGGAGAAACAGCGGGAATTGGAACGGCAGAGAGAAGAGGAAAGAAGGAAAGAAATAGAAAGAAGAGAGGTAACCAACGGGCTAAGAGGAAAGTGCTTGTGTCACCGGCAGCTGTGTTTGATGAGAACGAAATGTAATGTGTACACTGAATAATTTGCTGTCGTTTTTAGTAAGCGAGCATTTAAAGAATGGACTTAGATTTCTGGGGTTTCGAAGGTAAGGAGAGAGTCAGCTATCTATTTTTCATGTGAAATGAATGGCTGAGACATTTAGATCTAGGACAGCATGTGCCTAACCTATGACTTACAAAAAAGAAAAAGTTGTTTTTATATAAAGAGATGTTTGAATGAATGGAGAAAAACTTGTGGGCGTTGGCGTCATGCATTATTTTCCTGTGAAGAGTTAATTTATTCAAGAAAACACATTCTGATTAACTTTAAAAAGCTGTGATTTTCCCACATTGCCAAATAATGATGCATTCAGTGCAGGAGCATTTGACTATTCTTTGCAAAGCTGCAGAATGTGTAATGTGGAAGGTTGTAAAGAGATTTGATGCTATCCTGGAGAGTTCTTCAAGTCTTAATATGAAGCAACTTGTTTCCAATCAGAAAATTGGATCTTGGGAAACTGATTAAAGTGGAGTGATGTGCTGTCTAGTCACCTATCTGCTATACAGTGAAGCCCTTCTTCACCAGTGCTTTCAAGCGGACATTTTAAATTGAGCGATTTGTGTGCTTCAGTAGAGGTGCATATTTAGCCCACAGTTTAGCAGTGTGTTTGTAGTAATGCAATTGCACATTAAATATGAATATCAGCAATGTGGAGTAGTTTCTCAGAATAGATCTTTGATATCTTTATTTTTCTTCTAATGCTACAGGCTGCAAAACGGGAGCTTGAGAGGCAACGACAGCTTGAGTGGGAGCGTAATCGTCGGCAGGAGCTACTAAATCAAAGAAACAGAGAGCAAGAAGACATAGTTGTTCTGAAGGCAAAGAAGAAGACCTTAGAATTCGAGCTGGAAGCTCTAGTAAGTGATCACTTTGCAGATAAAACACACAAGCCACAGTAGTGACTGTGATATGACCACGTTTATTTTTTATAATTTCAACTTTTAAGTATGAAATAAAAGTACTTTTCAGATCCTGACTTGCATGACAAACCATTCTGGTAAAAAGAGAATTATTTTTCTTTTTTTTTTTTTCTGAAGAATGATAAAAAAAATCAGTTGGAGGGAAAGCTTCAAGATATCAGATGTCGACTGTCTACCCAAAGGCAAGAAATTGAAAGTACAAATAAGTCTAGAGAACTGAGAATTGCAGAAATCACCCATTTGCAACAGCAGCTACAGGTAAGAAAGCGTTCTCTGATTGATTGTGTTCTTAGCCTTGCAGTTGACCTCCTCAGCTCCATCAATATCCTAAGCAAACTTGCCACAATATGTGATGTGTTGTTCTGTGTACATAAGGACCCGCTGTAGATAATTTGTCGTTCTTTTAGATGAATGTTCTTCAGACTTGTCTAGGATTTGCTTTCTGTGCTTGAAGGTGTGTCTGTGATTATCATTTTATCCTCATGGAGTCCTTTTGTGTGAAGCAGTAAATTGTTTGGCTGAAGATATTAAAAGATTTGGGGGGATGATGAGAAAGAAATTTTACAGCATTTGTTTTTGTTGTCAGTGGCTTCTGTTTGTGTGATGGAAGAATGAATTAACTTCAGAGAAGTGGCCTGTTGATTATACTTTTTTAAAAAAATTAATTATAAAATAATGAGCTTTAAAAACTGAAGTTACCAGTTAAACCAGCTAGTTCTTGGTCTAGCCCTGGCACTTGTTTTTCCTACTTTTCTATCTAAAATTCTCTGTCAAATGGAAGATGGAATTGAGTAGGTGTCAGCTTTTGCTGACAGAATATTCTTTGCAATTTGTAAAGGTTTCTAGATAAATTGTAGCGTTTAATTATTCTATTTATTTATTTTCCTCTATATTAGATATTTTATATTGCTTAAAGTCAATTCTTGGCCAGTAATGGTGCTCTCAGTGCTTTTCTACCACTACAGTGAGAAGCTTACACTTACTTACACTTACATTCTGAGACCTTTTGTGTAAAACAATTTTAAAAACCTAATCCCACCATTCCATTTCAACTTTCTAAGCATTATTAATATAGTACATTCACTGGAACAAAACCAGAACCTGAAAGTTCAGATTTTTTTTGTTTTACATATGAGCACTTCTTTTGCTTTCACCTTTTTTAAAACATCTCACATTTCTATTGAAGTTTGATGTACACCATTACACATTTCAGAAGACATCTTTCTTTTGGCAGCAGCTGGGCATAAAGAGTGTAGTTTAGGGATCATATTCTTGCACAGTGTTTGTGTCCACTTGATGCAAACAACGGCAAACGAGGAATGCTGCTGAGGGACACCTGTGACATAAACAATCGCCATCGTTAGGCTTGAAACCACTCTTCTTTAATGAAATGCTCCTGCATTGACAACTGAAAATTAAGTCAAACAGCATTGAATCAAGCATAGGAAATTGTTGCACCTAGCAGTGCTGGCTCAAAGAGGCAAAAAACTGACTATGCTTGATGCATGAAAAAGCTCCCATTTACCTGAGTAAGTTAAAGACTACTGATCTTGTGTGTGCAACCAATCTCCATATAAAAGCAACAACCACCTGAATTTCCCTCTAATCCATTTATTTCAAAAGCTTCCCGTAGAAATTATCTAAGGTACTGTATCTCACTGTAGAAGCTAAGCATCTACATGGCCATTGAGAGATAAGTGCTATTTCAACAAATTAAATGGAACTCGTATCCTACTTTCATATGTCATTTCTAATACCTTGGTGTTTTTTGTTCAGTTAGTCTCTTTAGTCAGAAAAGATAAAATCTCTCTTTGTTTTTGTCATAATATAAATAATTAAGAAGGAAAAAAGTGATGTTACAGTAAAAAACATATACACTATATACGTATGTATTATAACATAAATAAAAGTCATTTATATTATAGTAAAGACCAATGTGCTGCAGTTGGGAAACAATTCCATTATAAGAGATATCATTAAAAAATGTGAGAAAAAAACATATGATCAAGGACCTGGAATGAGCTTCCACAGCTGGGTATAATAAATGGAAGGTGCTGAGGGAGGTTAAAAACATGAAACCAACACTATTGGGAAACAAGTAATGAGAAAGGTAATCAATCTACAAATAGATATAGTTAAGTGGTTTGTTAAAAAGTATGAGATAAACAAGAGGGCAGTATTCTCTGCAGACTCATTAACAATTTTTTACATTTTTCATCATATTCTTGGCTTGTCGTAGATGTGCTTTTTCCTTAGCTACAACTTTTGTACATTGGTTTTAGCTACATCACCATGAAAGGAAAAGCTAAGTAGGGCAGAGGGATTCTTCACCTTTCTAACGTTTAGTTTGTGCTACTTGTTACCAGTTGCCGTGATTCAAAAGCAGATGGCTTTTTTTTAATTTTTTGTTTTCAATGTTTTCACCCCATTCTGAAATTTTATTGAAACATCTGGCGAGGAACAATGAATTTTGCACATTTTTCTACGTTTTACTCTTGTTTTGGAAAGACAACTATATTTGTAGTGATTTTTAACCATCTCTGATCATTGTAATTAGAACTAGATGGCATGTATACAACAGCTCAGTTATGCCTATTCACTTTCTAAATTGCTTCGTTCACAATAACTGTAAGAGCACTTCTGTAATGTAAAGTCATACTTGCTGTTCTTGGAGGTTGTTTTGTTGGTTTTGTCAGTTTCAGACTTTTTTTTTTTTTTTAGGTTGGCAGCAATAGCTGTGGCTTTGTGGTATTGTCTTCTCCCAGGTGATCATCGACCTTGACTACTAATATTTTAGCTATCGTTGTTTGAGGGGTTTATCACAATCCCAGAAAGAATTGTTACTACTTAGTAGAAAAGGCCATATTTTATCTGGGGAGAACCTAGAAGAAGGATAGCTTTTACGTGTAAAAAAAAAAAAAAAGTTTCCCAAATATCCTGTGAATTTTACTGTCTAATTGGTAGAGAAGAGACTAAAGCATTAAGTGACATTTTTAAAAAGAGATTTTGATCCCCTAAGCTCTTCAATAGATGAAAAAGTCAATATTGCCAGTTATCTTTGTAGGATGATATATCTTAGCTTGAAAATATTTTCATTTAATACATCTGACACTTGCTATGGAAAGGTGAGTTAATTCAAAGGTGTAATTATTCTTCAACCTATTAATTAGTTTCATGATGGAGTTTAATCAAACTTGTGGAAGAAACTGTATAATTAATTAGTCCTGGGTGATGAAAATTTGTGCTAGTTACAGAAATCTGTGGTGTCTGGTAGAGTGGTATTTCTAGGGATATGTGGAAGAATCATCCTGTCTTCCAAACACCTGAACTGTATGTGTTTGAGTCATGTTTATACTATCTGCAGGGCTTCTGTTAGTTAGCTGCAGGGATTATCTGCCTTCTTGATGAACACTTTAGTTCCAAGTAATTTGGCTTTCCTCTGAAGCACTCAAAGAAGGGCATGTGGCAGAGACATAAGATGTATAGCGATGTCTCAGTTTCTCATATGCTCTCTTGCTCAGGGCACAGGATCAGAAGAGAAGTTTCCCCCATTGCATGGACAGGGGCTGTTTTTTGATTGCTGTGTTTGCTGTTAAATATTATATGTTATAATACTGTTTAAATTTTTCATCCCAAACTGTGACATGGGGAATGCAGGTATTTTTGGGTGGCAGGGTATGGTGGAAGGGAAAGTGTGAATGCAAAGGACAGTTTTTTGCACATGGTAATGGTTGTTGGTGGGAAGGACTCAGGCCCCCTCGGGCAGATTATTTGGAAAATGCTGCATTATATGTTGCTGTCTCTCACTTGGTTCTAGGCAGGGAATAATAGTCTCGTGATAGGAACATCTGGCCTTCATGATGTCATTGAAGGGCTGGAAGGAATATATGCTCGTGCTGTTGAACAGTGAGGGACACATCTCACTCCTAATAGTCAAGTGCATAGTTTATCTTAATTTTGATACTTTGTGAATTTATAAAGTCCTTGACTTTACTGTGCTATATAAGTATGTTTTCTGTAACATAAAGAGGTTACAGTAGTCTGCAGTAACCTCAGAATAATAAGATCTGAGCTTCACACTGCGGAGGCCGAATCAAAGACTGCCAAGAGTAAAGTGGGACAGCTACGAAGTCATATCAATACAGTCAACCTTGTGTTCTTGTAAGAAAAACTAAAAACTTTTCATGGCACTCAACTCTGGTATAAAGGGATTAGGTGATGTTTATTCTTAGAATCAAACTGTGTCGTTTGGAATCCTTCAGGGCAAATTGAAATTGTCAGATGGCTGATTCCTCAAAAGCCTGCAATTCAAGACAACTGCTCAAGTAAATTACTCAGTTTGTCTGAAAGATGGGATGCTGACACTCAGGTGGCTTTTATAAAATAAGCTTTTTCACCTCATACTTCTATAATACGTTTTGACAAGTTGAAGTTGGAGGTCAAAGCTTCTGAAAGGTGTATGAAATAGCACTTCATCCTCCAGAAAGAGCAGGGGTTATATATGAGATAGATTATATGTATGAACCACTGAAGGAAGGATTTGTCATCTGCAGGGTCTCCCGTAATATATCAGTGTATAATCTTATGATAGTGTGTTGAAATTGAGAGAGATCTTAATCCTCTTTCAAGAGTGCTATACTGAGAGATCTAGGACTCAAGTGTTCTCATCTAACAGAGTTTGTGTTGCATAGCTTTTGGCCATAATATATTTCTTTCAAGTGACAGTCTTTATTTTCCCTTCTTTAAATAAGCTGTAATGGTTTGTCTTTCTATTCCTAATCAAAGTTAATATGTGTTAAAATGAGAATTAAACTATTAGTAAAGGCTTGTTTTAACATTTCCTGAAGTCTGTCCTTGTCATTTTGCTCTGAATATCAAGTCAAATTACATGCTCCATGAGATTCAGTTCTCAAGTAATATGCTTAAATTTTATATGGCCACTTTTTTGTGTTGGCAGAGAACTAGGTCTCAGTGGTAGCACCACACAGATAGTGCTTGGATAATAGCAATAATATGTAGTTCAGTGAGAGGAAAATGTAAAGAGTCATTTCAGAGGAAATAAACGTGAGAGGTCTTATGGCTAAAGTCATCTCTCACCTCTTTGTCTGTTTTCTTTTCTCTCTCCTCATTGTTCTCTATTCAGGAATCTCAGCAGATGCTTGGAAGGTTGATTCCAGAAAAGCAATTACTTAATGATCAGCTAAAGCAAGTTCAACAGAACAGTTTGCACAGTAAGTATATTTTTGTAATGTCTAAGTTTGTATGGGACACGATGCTGCATTGCACAGTGTAGTCTGTAATTTCTTTTTTGTTTCAAGGTGAATGTTTAAAAACGGTTGCTTTTTATGACCTAAAATTCTCTGAGTAAGTAAATACTTAACTGACGATGTTTTTAAAAACAGGAGATTCTCTTCTTACTATTAAAAGAGCCTTAGAAGCCAAGGAACTAGCACGTCAGCAGCTTCGAGACCAGCTAGATGAAGTAGAAAAAGAAACCAGATCTAAACTTCAGGAAATTGATATTTTCAATAATCAGCTGAAGGTAATCCTGGACTTTTTAACCCTTTCTTCTAAATGTTCAGTTAATTGTTTTCTTACTTGATTATGGAAAAAATATTGAACTAGAATGATTGATTTAGAATCTCAGTTTTGAGCATGTTCTCAAATCTATCTTGGGGTGGAGTGGGTGTTTATTTGGTTGGGTTTTGTTTGTTGTTTGGGGCTTTTTTTAAGAAAATACTACTTAGCATCCAAAGTCAGAGTTTGAATCAACTTATTATGTGGCATGTAAAAATAAATTTGAGCTCTGATTATGGATCTTTGATTGCAAATATGAAATCACCAGTTTCTGCCCTTCTTGCATCAAAGAAGTGCAAGACTGTAGCAGACCAGCAGATATGCTGGAATAAGTACTTGAGATTGAAATCTTTAATAAAGAGACTTGATTTTCTACTGACATACAGAGTTTTTAATCTGCTGTTCGTAAGCTCATACCTGTTCCTGAATGTAGTTGTCTTGTTCTTTGTAACTTCATGCTCTATTGATGAGTCTTTTGTTAAAATAGTTTGATTTCTGTTTATTTCTGCACAAGAAAATGATGGAAATTGGAGAAGTCAGTAGAGGAAGTGTTCTTCAGAGAGAAGTTATAAACCAGTCTTTAGTTACACACTTTTAATAGCATTCACTTGTTCATAAAATATTCTGTGTTAAAGTACTTCATCTGCTAATTGAACTATTTCAGCTAATTTCTCCTGAAAGCTGACGAGAAAAATACTCAATTTTCTGCAAGGTGTAATAAATAGTGCTACAAATAGAAGAAAAAGCACTATGATAGGTACATTAAAGTTTCTGTAGTTGTTTTGAAATTAGATCAACTATCATTCCATCATATGCTTTAGGATGAAAGGCTTGTTTGAAGTTAATCAACAAAGAGCTTGTTTTAGTATTAAAGATGTTAATAATTGTAGGAAAAATTAAAAGCTGTAGACCATACCACTACCTGTTTTGATGCCAATTCAAAGATGACTCATAGTCTTAGGCACAGAGGTAGAATGGGAAGAATCTTTGCAGAGTCGTAAGAAACAGAAGGCAAACAAAACATGCACAATTTTAAAAGATAACAGGATGGCTTACGTCACTTAAATTTCTTTACATATGCTTTTTGGACACATCTGAACATATTATTCTTTTGGGGTGATTTTTTTCCTTTTTTTTTTTTTTTTTTTTTTTTAAATGTAGTCTTTTGGAAGTATTTTGCAGATAAATGTGACCAAAGGATATTAATTCTAAAATTAGTGTTAGCAATTGGTTTGATCATAAGTGAGCTAAACAGTTTATACATGGCCAGAGGAGGTGAATAATCTTGGTACTCTGACAGTCAAAACCAAACAAGCAAAAAACCCGAACAAACACAATTTAATATTTTAAATACTGAAAGACTCAACAAATAACAAGCTAATGATAATTAAAAGTGAAGATGCACATTAAACAGGGACATCAATTTATCAGAATGTCTGCCATCTATCCAAGAATACCTTGACTAACTGCAAACTATTTTGCAGTTTACTGGGAAAATTGATTTCTGTATTCAAATCTTGGTATTTAGAGTTACCCCATTAAATGCTGAAAATATTATGTAGACAGTTCTTTGGGAAGACTTCAGCAAGCTTCCTCTGGCCTGAGGATATAGTGTTCTTCATTTCAAAGTCTGTGGAAGCACTGCTTAATAGGAAGACCACTTTCTGATGCGCTGTGCTGGTATTTCTGCCATGCTGCAGCTTTCTTTGCTTTCTTGGAAGAGATGAGTTTATGAAGGACAATTGCACTATTGAAACTGAGAGGTGGGAGCTTAATTCAGAGAGAATTATATCTTCTCCCTTCCACTAGATGTGCAAGATGCATTTTGGGTGGCCTGGATGATTTTATTACTAGATGTAAATACCTACAAATGCAAATATACCTTTTTGTGGACTCAATATGGAATGGCTGTAGTATCCCAGTGCCAGAGGAACTGGTTAGAAGATATGTGTGCAGCAGTGATTTAATGGCTGCTATTCTTCTGAAAAGAGCACTCAGAATGCCTTCTGTATGAGTCTTTATGCACAGAGCTAGTGAAAGTTTTCTTGAAATGTGGTTTTATTAGGATTTGTGTGAAGTGGAAGTTCTGCTCTTAAACTGAGGCAGAACACATCTATCTGGTAGCTAATAATATTTCCAAAACAATGTAGTCTAGAAACTTGCATAATTCTTGGATACTTTACCAAAACAATCAAAAATCTGTGACAACTTTTAAGAACTTCCATTGGAAAGATCACTGTTACATTTGAAATAGATAGAAAATGTCTTATAAAGAAGTGCCAAATTAATAGCTTTCCCAGTTAAAAGAAGAACTTTTTGTTTACTTACTAGTAATTGGGTGCATAAATACAACAGGCTTGTTTGGTGCAACAGTGCCTTGCAATTTGTACAGTTATCAGTCAGCTGCCTAATGCTCACATTTAAATGTAAAACCTTTTCAAATAACGTAAAAAAAATCCCACCACATCTGAGCTTTAAATACAATAAGGCTTTTTATCTTGCAGACTGAGGGAGAATATGTTAAAATGTTTATTTTTAAAAGGTATTTTTACTAAAAAAATAAATTTAAACATCAGTTTTTAATCAAGGCTTTTACTTTGTGCTTCGCTCTACGAACTGGGGGATGCACGTTTCATGGGGTAGCTCTTAGGACAGCAGCACCATAATTAGCACTGTCTTGTGCAGCTTTTGTTCTCTGACAAGTGATGAAGAAGCACCAGTGCTTTCCTTGTCTTCTAGACTACAACTAGCTTCTGGGCAAGAAGCAGAATAATGTCATACTGTTTGCAAACTCACAGGAAAAAGTCCCAACCATATCTGAATGATCTTTAGGTATATATACCAACTTACAGCATTTTATAGTTATTTCCTATAGGGAGAGGGAGTAATACACATCTTTACTTAGTCAAAATGCTAAATTTAATAGAAAATAGAACCAAAATAATAAATATGTAAGCTACAGCTCTCTGAGTACAAGGTATACGTCAAACTACTTTTGATGAAATGCTTAAGAGACAGTGAAGTTGGCGGGAACATTAAATTATAGCTTTTTGTCATCATTGCTGAGATTTATTCTTTATTGGCTATGAATATTGGTTGCATTATCTTCTATGTGAATATATCCTTAGATTTTTCAAAGCTCCCTTTCTGATTCATTCTTTTGGAATGGGTTACACTTGATCTCCTGATAGTGAATACAGAAATATGCCATGATAGTACAAGATAAAATGAACAGTTTCAGCTAGTATCTAGTGTGCCTTTTCATTGATGAGAATGTAAGGTTTAACTAATATTCCAGTATATTTTAACTTATGGGTCAACTTGTTGACACCATAGTAGAACACAGTGGATTGCACTGCATTTGCCTCCATATTATACTTTTTATGTTCTGCAGTAAGTGAGTATTAAAGCAAGTGTTAAATTACCTCACTTTGCATCATGTCTTAATAGCATATATGAGTGACTAAGGAGCTACATGAAATACTTTTTTCCAGCAGATCTTTCATCATCTCTCCAAAACAACTGAATTAAATTTCTTCTGACTAGTTCTTTGGAACTCAAGTACTTTAGTTACTTTTGTTTCAAGTTAATACCTCAAGAGTTGGAAATGTTCACAGAATTTGGTTCCTTTTCAAAAAATTTCTGGAGTATAAAATGTTACTAACAGTTCAAAACAGGTAGTTTCAAGTATCTATAGTGAATATCTTTAGGTATAACCACATGGTTTCAGGAAATTGTTAGTACTTGTTTGGTGGAGAAGTAGGTACCTTAGCCTGCAGGTGGTCAGACACTGTTTTTAAATCAAATTTGAGGCATTTTATTGTTATATCTGGATAATAGTCTTGTGGATTGTGCTGTATTTGGGTATAGAGTAAGGGACTGAGGTGGTAATGAGGTTGAAAGTTGGGCCACTTTTCTGTCCTGATTATGGTTGGAGTCTAACTTCCAAGACTCTTTAAGAATCTTTGCCTAGAAATCTAATAATTAAGATGGATACAGGGATTAGTGAAACGTAACTAAGCACCTGTTTATTTTCTCTACTTCATAAAATATACCTGTAGAATAGAAGGCTTTATATTAGGTTTCCTGTTGGTGTATGTATCATCCACTATAATTTACCTTTACAAATTCTTTCTACATTCAGTGTTAATTTACATTTAAGTTTTACAAAGGTCAGTCATTACACACGATCAAATAAAGCAATAATAATTCTTAATACAGTTCTTTTCTCCAAAGACCAAGTAATCATGTTATATAGCATAAAATAACCAAGTATTTAGTGCTTATCTGTGAGATTGCACAGGAGAAGACAAATAATAGATGAGTGTTGCTGAAAGACGTTCAGTCTTGCTGAGAAGCTCTTCTCAGCACCTGGAAAAAGTGGTGAACAAGAGGAACTAAGTTCTTAAAAATGTTTTACATTTTGTGTCATGTTCCAGTTGTTGTCAGTCCCTGTCTAGTCAGTGTGCACTGGACAAGTCTTGCATTTGAATGCCTGTTTACATTTGAGCATTTCTTTCTTCCAGTCAGTGGCAATGGAAGACGCAATGCTGCAGTGCCTGGCAGTTCTCCTGGGCTGCGTCAACTACTTAGACTCCTTTCTAAAGGTCTCCATGCCAAACTCAGGCAGTACACAACTATCTCAATCTGAGTGATGAACCTCCTCCAGTTATGTGCTTCACTTTACCATAAACAGATGAGTGTGCAGTATTTAACTAAGTTAGTATTTAATAAGAGGTGTTAGCACTAAAACGTAACCAAAGAGAAGAGTTTATAATTTGGCTCTTTATCTAATCCTTACTCCCTAGATGAGGAGTGTGCCTTGAATTGCAACTTGGGCAAGATACTAGCTAGTTAATTTTGTCTTTTGCCTATCTGAAACATCAAAATTTTAAGTTACTTACCTATTTTGGTCATGATGTTCGTAATTTTTTAAAAGAGAACACTTTTATGCTAAGTATTCCTACACTGTAATTTGTCATTGCAGGTATGAGAGAGATGGCAATACATTCCATGTATCAAATCCCCCATAACTATAATATGGGGTGAAAAGCAGAACTGTCTCTGTCAAGGGCAAAACAGGCACTTTGGGAGCTGGGATTTGGGTAGAAGAGTATTGCTGTGGGAAAGCCTCAGTGAGCACAGAACTGTAGGGTTCTTTCCTCTGGGATCAAGTGCTCTGGTTGGTCTCAAGGGGAGAAGGTTAGATGGAAACCTTGTATTGTAATCCCTGAAGTATCCTAAGTTCTGTTGTCTTTCTGTCAAAAGGCAAAATTTGTGCCTTAAACAGCTACATTTCTAATGTTAAGGTTTTCATAGCAACATGACTTGTCTGTATAAAGTGAATATTACTCTGCTGTATGAAACTCATATTTTAATTCATATTCAATATTTTGTGGGTACATGGATGTGGCTATTGTAACATCTAAAAATTATACTTGTTAGTCTGTTTGTGAATTAAGTAGCAGGGTAACAGTTTCTTTCTTCTGTTAAGGCAAGACATGCTTTGTCCTGTACACCAGAAACAAGCAAAGTTTTGTTACATCTTTGGAGTCACAATATAAAGTTTGTAAATGTACAGCTTTTAAGTTGCTTGTGTCTGTAAAAGATGAGTGTAGGACTGTGCTGCATATTCAGCTGGCAAATGTTTCATTCTGTAGACTGTTGAAGTGTTACTATAAATTTGTTCAACTGATGTCCTATAGCACTGTGGGAGATGCCGATTCTTTCTCCCACATCCTCCAGCTGGTAATTGGCAAAGCAACAGAGCATCTCTCTGTTGCATGAGATAGTGATCAAATCTTTATTTCCTCCTAGCTAATGCAAAGAAGGATAGATACAGATAGATGGATATAATTTTTTTAATCTCCAAAAATATTCCATTCAGTTCTAGGATTATCAACTAGGTTAGACTTCTTAACTGTTACAGGTATCTCACAGAAAAATGTCTTCACAAAATACTGAACTCCCACATTGGCTTAGGTGGGAGGGAATAATGTGTTAAAATGTCCATGGGAAACTTAAATGTCTCTTGAGATCCTAATTCAGCTGAGCATATAGATAAAATGCCAAACTAAGGAAACAATTTCATTATTTGGACCCGAGCTAGCAGCAGCACTCAACTGTTGTGATGGAGCAGTTAATGATCGTACTATATGTACTCAGTATGAGAGACTCCTTGCTTCACACGGATGTGGAGGCATGGCTGATATCTACAACTTCCCCATTATTCTATTTGATAGTAAAAGTGCCATATATTATACATTTAGTGGTGAGATAAACTCACATGTCTAAACTGTAATTAAAATATAAAGTTTGGGCTAGCCTTTTGGTTGGACATCTAGTGGAAGTAAGTAATGTTTGGTGCACAGATGTCTTGCAAGTAGTAACTTGATTTTATGCATTTGCAAATTCAGGAAGTTTTTCTGAAGGGGAGGAAATACCAATATCCTGAATTAGATGTAGATTCCTTCCAATCCAAACTGATAGATGAACTAAATTATTCTTTCTAGTTTACAATTTTTTTGTTAAAAGGTAAGCTCAACTCAGATACTTCCATCTGAGTTGTCTCACTTAAAGTTTTTGAGATCTGTTGGAGGCTTTTATTTAACTACAGCAGCCCTCATACTCTTCAAGAATTTTAGTTTTCCTCTTTCTTTGCCTACTGATTATTTTTATTTAACTTCTCAAACACCAAAGTTTGAGTCAAACAAGCCTAAATAGATGTTGTCTATATAGCTTAAAATTTTGCAAGTAACAACAGGTTATCTTCAATGTAACCTTATTAGAAATGTGTGACTATCCCAGGTCTATCTGTTCAGTAGCAAGAGAAGTTCTTATTGGCCAGGACTCAGAATCTTGACCTTCTTGGCATACAAGGTTGAGTGACAGAAGGGAACATGAGTGTGAAGGAAAGATAGAGCAAGTAGAACAAAGGATTTCTGAGTGGCAGCCTGCACTGAAGCTGAACTAAATGTAGGAATCAGAAACCTGTGCTTTGGATAACAGTCTCTTTAACTGGAAAAAATGTTTGTAAAAAAGCATAAATTCGAGTCTAGATATTTGATACTTCACAGAAGTAGTATTTTCATCTTCAAGAGTCTTGTAGATGCTGTTTTGTAGATTGCAGAAATCCATAAAAATGCATAATACTGTGGCCAGGTGGAAAACTGCTTTCAACTGTGCCATTTTCTATTCTATGTCCTTTCAGATGAATGCTTGTAAATCACCCCACTGCTGATGTTCTTGTGGTTGTATATTTGTCCTTTGCGCTTGTACATGTTTCTTGATACAAATAAGGGTTCAGGTGATCATTTAGAGATGGTGGGGACTGTGATTCCCCCCTGAGAAGTTAGTTTGAAACAAGGGTCAAATCCTTTATACCTCAATATATTACAAGTGTAACAGCATTAAAGAACCTGTATTAATAACACGCAGTTATTGGAAAAGACTGTTCACTCTAGTTAGCACTCCAGAAATTCATAGTCCAGTCCGAGGCCACCTCTAGCTCCAGGTGCAGCTGGCCAGCTGTGTGTTCACTGCAATCTCTCAGTCCCTTTATTTTCTCATTGTTCTTCATGGGTCAACTACTAAACCCCCACTATGTTTAATATTGCTCATGTACTTCCTTTTTTGCTAGTCCTTTTCCTTAGTCCAAGACTAAGGCTTTGCATAAATGTTTATAACCATGGGTTTAAAAATTTTCCCAAAGGCATTATCCTGCCTGAATAATTCTGGTGATTTTGCAAAAGTAGTTTATTTGGCATTCTATAATATCCATTCTAGATCCTAACTATATACTAAACTTTAATGTGACTATGGAAAATATTGATCTTAAAATATGGTACTGCCCAAATTATCAGCGAGCTTCACAGCTTTAGCAGAGTTTTAATTAAAACTTGTATAAAGGTTAATTATCTCTTTATGGATGTTGAATTCAGTTTTCGTTGAATTTAAAATGCAGGATCATTAATGAAATGAGACTGGGAGCTAGGACACAGGGTTCAGCTTAACTTTTTTTAAACTTCTTCATCCATATATCAGAAGCGGTTTTAATACCTTGCAAAGGTCATGTGCTACTCCTCTTCATAATGTATTTATTTTGACATCTTAAAATCTGGTGTTGCACAGTGTGCAGTTGCTCAGCACTAATGCATCTATTAACAAAATTTAACAAAAATTTTTAGACAGTGCAAGTATAGTCTGTATATAAACAAGTATTAACTTCCCTTTTTCATGAAACTGTAGCTAAGAATTTACTAATAATGTTGTGAAATTAAATTGCTGAAAATTTTATTATGGAAATCTTATTTTAATCACTTCATATTGGTTATCTTTTGGTTTTTTGCTCTTATGCAATATTCTACATTTTGGTCAGTGCATGAGGATAGCTATGCAAAGTCTTTATCTGAATCTGGTGAATTTGTAGATTGTGACTTTCTGAAAAAATATCCAAATACTTTCAAGATTAACTGTTTCAATCCCTGACTGAATTAAGTTAAAGCTTTTAAGGATACAAGAACTAAACAAACCTGCATGATATAAGTCATAACATAGATCAATAGAAGACAGTATTAAGTTACAGATTTAGAAACAATTTGCTGCTACAGACTTTTTTGGCATATTTTGTACTATATTTTCATTAAGACATACCAGATTTTTAAAGTTAACTATTTTATGAAAAAATTTCAATTGTCATAGCTAAAGTTATCCTTTCTTTTCCTGAGGAGTTCAGACATAAAGTTCTAGGTTATGCAAAGACATTCTGGATAAAACTTCTATTTGTGTTAATAGCTGTTAATGCAGAAAACAAATCTGAAAAGATGATGGTTTTATTATTGCTTCCATTCTAGATGTTTCAAGTAGTGTCTTTCCAGTTAATTAGAAGAAAACTGACTTGTGTATGGATGAATATGCTCTGTGCTACTATTCATCTTGAAGACATTGCTTTAATCTCCTGCATATAAAGCAATCCTGAAGATTCTTTAGTAAATCACTATTGATTTCAAAATGAAACTGATTAGCTGAAACAGTTTCTATTTGTAAACTTTTTAGATTCCCATTTAAAAGAGGCTTTCTTGTTTTTAACCCTTTAACATCTCAAGTTAAAGATATGGGTAAAAATAGAAAAACAGCAAGTAGTTTATAGACTTTTGAAATCTACCTTAAATGTCTGCCAGTACGTTTGGCAGTACTGTAAGTTTGGTCAGAGATACTCAACCATTTACAAGTTTTGTTACTTCACAATGAAATACATGGGGCCTCTAGGTATGATTCACATAGTATATGTTTACATATATTTTGCTTTTTTCTCTAGGAGCTGAGAGAAATACATAACAAACAGCAACTACAGAAGCAAAAGAACTTGGAAGCTGAGAGACTGAAACAGAAGGAACAAGAAAGGAAGACAGTAGAACTGGAAAAGCAAAAAGAAGCTCAAAGGTAACAAACTGCTCTAATTTAAGCCCTTTCATTGGATGTATTAGAGTGCAAAGCATTTTGCAAACAAGTGAAATAAATTTTACATTCCCAGGAGCATAATCTGATCTCAAATAATATATCACTAAATGGCAAGAATACCTGAGACCTAGACCAAGTTTCATTTCAGTGCAGATGACCCCTTTTAAAACTAGAGATCTCTTGATTTATCCTTGGATGAGAAGTGTGCTGTGGAGATGAGTTTACATCTGTCTGTGACTCTTAAATGTCAGTGATACATATAGATTTCAGCAATGTTATTAAATGTTTAGTGTGCATCTGCACCTAGAGAAGCTCTGTAACTAACTAGCTCTGTCTTCTGTCCTAACATAAAATACAGAGCTAATGTTTTTCTGCTACACACTTAGAAATTTGTTTTCTGTATGTATTTATAATATATGTATGTAAAATGCATGGCCTGTAGGCTTGCAAGCAATTTATTCTGCCATCATTTTTCAGTAGCTTTTTGATTTAATTCTTAGCAGTTGTAGGCGGTTTATACTCTTAATACAGACAGATGCTGATCAAGAGATGAAAACAAAGACCTGGGAACAAGAGATCTTAACTTATTTGTCATGGCATTGCATGGACTGTGACCTAAAGTGAATTGATAGGCCACGTTGCTACTTGGTGAGTCAAGTTAATTTTTATATTTCAGGCAAAACCGAAACAAGGTCTCAGTGAAAAAACGTATCTTCAAACAGAAATCTTACACACAGAAAGTAATTAAGTTTAGGTAATTCTTAAGTAATTTACATAAATCCTATGCCTTTAAAAATCTTAAATATTAGCTTCAGAAATTGCAATAGAAAGCTGTTTTCTTAGAAAGTTTGCTAAAAAGTAACTACACTAAACATGGTAATTATGTTGGAACTTTCCTAGAAAACAAGGCAGCTGCTGAGGTGCTGGAAGTATAGGAATACACTAAAAATGTTCTGTTTCAGAATATTAAATAAAGTACTGCACTTCCTTCCAGAAAAATGGAAATTTAAAAACCAGATTTAAAACAGGGAAGATCTTCTGCTGTGGAAGACTTCATGTCTGTCTTTTCATGCTAGTTGAACATTCAGACATTACTGATAATGGAAAGTTTCATTCTGCCCAAGTATCCAAGCTTCTAAATAATCGTAATTGGTATACATGAAAATGAGAAATATGCAGCTCTCACTGATTTCCAACAGACACCAACCAGAATAAGGTATACAATTAATACTCATAACCTAGATACTTCCCCATAATGATAATGGAAGTATGCTGCCTCTTAATAGCTCCAGTGAAAGCAAAGAAAGAATAATCTAAGATCATAATTATGTGCACTTTAGCCTTTGGCTTAATAGAGAACCACAATCACTTTATGCTGAGAACCATCTGAATAATTTTTTGTTGTTAATTATGCACTGAATTGTGCACAGTAATTTAATTGACCTAACAAAGGTACAGACGTACATCTTTGCTGGGATGGTAGAGGTCTTTTTGAAGGCCTTGTGGCTAATTAGTCTTAACTATATTAAGGCTAATTTTGTGCAGACTTGTATGATTGTGTGAGTAATATGTAGTTCAGAAGGGAGAAAACCCCTACATTCCAGTGAAATTAATAGCACTTACTCTTGGTGTTTGGGGTAAGAACTGCCTGAGTGGTGTAACACGATGAGAGAAAAAAAGGAAAAGCAATTAGTTAGAAGAGACTTAGCTGAAAAGTAAAATCACTGAACAGAATTAGTTCTGTTCTAACTCAAACCAGGACAAAGGGTTAAAGCAAGTATAGGTAAATCCCAGATTAGAGGTTGGATTCCACAATAATTAACCTATCAGAAGCCTTGAATTAAGGAATAGAGCAGAATGTATTTTTCTGTTCCTAGCACTGAACTGTGGTGCTCACACCTAGGCTTGTGTTCTTCTCGCTTCTGTCTTTTTTCACTCCCTTCCTTGTCCTTAACTCGTGATATTAGCTTCCATAACAATCAAAGAAGGAAATTCTGCAGCTTCAATGAAAGGAAAAAAAGTGATCACACATACTCCACACACCCTCCAAGATACATTTTTGTCTGCTCTTCTCACCCCAGTAGTTAGATTAGACTTGGTTTATAAGCATGGGAAGAATTAATCACTCTAGCAGAAACATAATTAAAAACTCCATTTCCCCTTTAAAGCCCATCTGACTAAACTCACCGGGTAAGATACCACTCAAGACAAAATAAAATCAAGCTCTGTGTGCTGCAGCTTCAGTGCTGCAACAAAAGTGTGGAGTAATTGGCTTTGAACGGTTTGCAAATGAACATGCAAAGGACAAATTCAATTATTAAAATAGGAGGTTGTCAGAATAGTGAATTTATTAACTTGATAGATGACTTTACATTGAAGGCAGGGAAGTGTGGCAGTGTTTCATAGAGAAGGAAGTGGTAGCCTTCGTGCCGGTGTCTTAACCTCTACTCATGGTATACTGATGTGGAGTATTGAAATGGTATCAGAAACTTCATTGAGAACCAAAGACTTTTTTGAGCATGTAAGTTAATAGCCACCATCTTAAACAGATACCGGGTAGCTTGACATCTTTCAGAAAATATGCTTGTCAACTGAAAACTTACATTGAGAGAGATTAGGCTTTTTGCCCTCTGGTACCAACTTACTGTCTGGAAAGTGGATTTTTCTCCTTAAGGAATTAATTCTTTTTTTTCACACTGTTTTTGGCCAGGAACTTGGATTAAATAGGTTCCGTATAGTAGACCAAGTCTGTAATGACCAGCTTATTGTCATGCATTTCTCACTAGTTTTTCTTAAGTAGGAAGAAAGTGTAGAAGTGGAATAAATCGTGAAACAAAATGAAGGGCACTGTGCATCCATTTTACAGTTATCTTTCCTGGTGCAAATTGTTTCTAGAAGAGAATTTTTTTGTTTCTGTTGTCCTCTGTTGGAGGGGAAGGACTTGTTATCTTTCAAACTTGGGAATGGGAAATTTTTTGAATAGATCTGCAAGGGTGCTGTATGAAGCTTGCAGATATTTTTATTCCTTGCCTCTCAACAGGAGGATCTGCCATATTTTCTGATCACAGCTTTTGTTTTTTTCTGATTTTGCTATTTGGAGTCTTACCTAGGTATGTTTGTGACTTTGAGAAAATAAGCAGAACCGATCTGTTTGGTGTTCTGAGTTCTTCCTATATTTTGGAGCTGAAGTCAATGCTGAGCAGATAAATATTTAAGTGTATAACTTGCTGCTTATTGAGTTTCAGGGAAAACTTTATGGTAGGAATTCATTATTGAAAATATCTCATTATGATTGTAGATGATATCTTCAGGCCTATATTAAATAAAAACAATACTGGGGCAAATTAAAATGGTAACCTGAAGTGCTGGTGTAATGAGATATTCACATTGCCTGGATTAGACTACTTGGGAAAAGGTTTTCAAAAGCAGCCTTACAGGTACTTGGAACTGAAGAGCTTATGTTTGGGTTCTTGGATGCCAAGGAGTTTGGTTTCTTCAGCTAAAGGAGATTTTTTTTTTTTTTTCTTCCTCATTTCTCCATATGGTTCATGACTTAAAACAACTGCATAAGTTTTATGAATCTCATGGAAAATTATAAAAATAGAATAGACAAATATTGTTGAATTCTGAAGTTGAGTTGTTGAGTTGAGGTGGTGGGACTGAAATATAAGATACTGAGTATTATCAAGCTTATAATTTTCAGAGCATTAGGAGCTGAGTAATAGACTGTTCTAAGATACATGTGTAAAGTTTCATACAGTAATTAGAAAAATACAGGTAAATATATTTACTTGCATGTCATTGGAGAGGAGATCACAGCCTCAATAAAGGAGGTGAAGTTTAGCATTTAAAAATCTCTGAACAACTCTGACAAGAAAAAATAGTGTTGGATGTTTTTTCCCATCTTACTTTCAGCTCTAAAACATAACTAGTTTATCATTTCTGTTTGCTCAGGTTGCTGGGTACCCCTTTTAGAGTTCTGTGGAACTATATTGTAAGGGCACAGAATTAATATGCCAATTATATTAAAAATTATATTAAATAA